AGGCAAAAATATGCATTGAGAAGTATTATCTGCATATTGTAATTCTTTCATACATATACAAGTGTTTTAGCAACCTCCAAAAAGGTCCAGCAACCTCCTAAATCTGTTACATACACACATATCCTTTCTACATCTGCAGCATGGATGCTAGAAGTTATTTCAAGCCTCTCTCTCTCTGAAGTGTCAAAGGTTGACTGCAGCTGATGGAACCATATTATAATCTTAAGACACATGCTGCTACATAGATTTTTCTTGCATTTTAATCAGATCCAACCTATTTGGTTGAACATGTCTCTCTTTAATATAGCTCCTCTCCAACCTGTCTCAAACTTCCATGAAAAGTAGCAGCACAACAGCTGACCCACAGAACATCCAAAGGGGACTCACAGCACAAGTTTCACTTCTGCTCTTTGTTTTTAGCAGCATACTCAACTTTTTACAGAATTCTGGACCAATGCTCTTCTGATTGTTTGTTTGGGTATGTTTTAAAGTGGTTGAACACCCCACTGGTCCCCTCTCTCCTCATTTGCTGCAATCCTCCCCTTTACTGCCCTAATTCTAAAAGAGTTCTCACAGACAAAATTCTGAGCTTTTATTGACTGTTACTTAAATGCAGCAGCAAAATAAGGACTTTCAGACTTGAGCAGCAGATGTGACTTGCTGAAGTGAGTTTTACAGAGTCTCTTTGGGTAAAGAAGGCTGAATCTGTTTTTTTTATGAGGAGCTGAGAGGATTAATGTTTTTTGCCTGCCAATTAAAGCCTTTCAGAAGCATGGTACTTTCTCACATCATGACACTGTAGTGGGTTAGCTTTTTTTGTAGCACCTTTCATCATCCCAAAACACTTCCAAAACTTAGTTAAGTATTAACCAAGAGTGGCAGTGGGAATAATAATTAGAGGAATCTTCCACAGACTGGCTTTTTTTCTTGCCCAATTTTTCAGTGATCAGCTTCAAAAGCTGGAAGAAAATATTAATTTCATTGAGAAAACATATAGCAAGTTATTGCATTGCAATTATTTTGTTGCAGACTCTAGGTTAAAAGAAAAGCCAAATTTGTGACAAATCCACTATACCAGTTACGTCAGTTACATAAATTTAATCTCCTATGGACAGAATAAGTGAAAACTAAGGAAGTTGAGTTTTTCTGGAGATAGCGAAAACAGTCAGCAAAGGAAAAAAGGAGAAAATACCTCACGCCATTCATGTCTGTCACCCATCAAGAGGATTCTCATTAGAGAACAGGTTTTCAGAGCTATTCTCTTTCTTACAACAGACCAATCTGTTCCTGTATCTGCTATTCATCCAGCCTACTTGTAAGGGCATCCGGGGTAAGTCCATTGCCTCAAAAAAATGATGTCTTTCTGAATATAAAGGGTCCCTATTGCATCAGCACTGTTATCTCATTTATTCCCAGCTGTTGCTTGAATTTCTGCTCTTAGAAACTTCACTTGCCACCCACCCCAAATTGGGGCCCTGCTGACATAGCAATCCCATAACAGTGAGCTTAACATGCACTGTCCTCCTCCCTTCCCTGTCCTGTAGCACCTGTCCACTTCAAGAAGTAACTGCATCTGTCTGACCTACAGCATTTCCATCTACTCTGAGAGATTCACCGTGTTCTTGGATTGCTTCCACAAGGGGGAGATTTTTGGATCACAGGATATGCCTCTGGTACGATGACAGTTCAATAGTTGGGCAGCAAGAGACTGAGAGAACTGGAGCTGGAGTCTGGGCTGTGCCTCCAGCAGCAGAGGTTCAGGTGCACGCAGGGCAATCCATGACCTGTGAAGCAGGAGGCTGGCCAAGAGATGGGTGAAAATGAGACGGGAGCATTCAAGGAGATGACTGCCGAGTTCCCTTTGAGCCAAGTGACAGAGGAGCTTAGGAGGTCTGAGCAGGGAGCCTGACCACACCTAGGTAGCCAAGACAAAGCAAAACACTAATGCTCTAAAGCAACAGCTACTAAAAAATACAACTCTCCAACCACTAAACTGTGAGATCTGGGCAAGAGACAGGGAAGACAGCAAAGGGTACAAGTGTAGTGCCATAAAGGACATAGCCCTTCCTTGCTAGTAGTGGTCTCCTCCTGCTTCTTTCAAGACCCATCACAGGCATTTCTTCTGGTCACATGGAGGCTCATCGATCAATGTGACAGCTCCCTCTCCACACAGAAATTTTCCCTTGAGAAACTGCATTATCTCTGAGTTGGTAAGGGAAAAAAAACCGCCACAAACCTCAAAATACTACCCTCTGTTTGGACTGCCATATGGTGAACCTATTCAAGAGCTGATAGCAACCACTAAAGATCACCTATATCTTAGGAAATAACTTTTTTTCCTTATGTGTAGTTTGGTGCCTGTTACATAAGGATATATATATTTTAAACAAAATTATTTAGGTCAGTTACTTTTCTTATGGCAAATGATGGCAGTGTTTCAGCCAGTGGTGAAGCTTTCCTCATCAGTTTACCAAAAACCCCGAAATAAGTTAAGGCAGGATCAGCTCCAGAATCTAAGAATAATGCATTTTATTTTCCCTCTTGCTATCCAGGTACTTCTGAGGGGACTGAGAAACCAGGGGAGAAGTAGTTAGGTTTTCCCAAGCAGTCAGAGTGAGCCATCATTCACCTATATTTGGGAGGCTGAAAAGGAAGCTGGAGAATATACTGATTAGAGAGCAGTTGGACACAAACTGTTGAAGCAAAACACCTGGATGCCATATAACCCTAGAGTAGCTTTATTATTTAATCTATAATTTAATAGATGACCTATAAAATAATTACATTATACTTAAAGCATTTCTTCATTTTTTGTTTTCATTTATAAAACAGAATTAAATACAGTTTTAACCATTACAAGCTCAACTCAGTTTTTACATAAACACAGCTCCTAGAAGGAGCTTTAAGCTGCAGCATATTCATATTGCAAACTGGTGAAAAACCCAGGCAGGGCATAGCTTAAATGTAAAGATTCTTGCACGTTTTTCTTAAGTGAATTTACTAGTGTGCCTTTCTCTCTCTGGTCTAAAATGTAAAACTTTCAGTTCTTTCCTTTCAAGTGAAGACTAAGATCCACAGAATCTTAGTAGACTATATTGCCACCTCCCCCTCTGCACTCCACCCACACCCACACTCCCAAGGCTAGTCTGAATTGTGCCCACCCTAGGGCTGGCATGATGCAACAGGGCAGCAGCAACAACCCCTAAAGCATTCCCTGGGCGAGGAGTCTCCCTGTGCGCTTCTGGCGCGTTGGAAGGTCACAGCAGAAAAGCGACGTCTGTTCATGTAACAGGGCTGCCAGACCTGACCAACCTCACCCTGCCCACGCCAGGCTCTGTAAACCGCTTGGAGCTCCTGTGGAGATCAGTCCTGAAAGCCTCTTAGGGAGGCCTGTGTCACATAATGGAGACCTGTGGCTCTGGAGCCACGGCTGGCAACACTGCTGAACACATTAACCCCCTGAAGTGGCTGCATGCAAGAGGCTGGTGGGGAGGGGCTCTGGCAGCAGGCTGCAGATGCTGAACTGTGAGACATGCACAGGGAGCCGGCGTGTCATTTTTAATCTGTAAGCTTCAGACAACTGCGTGAGCACTGGCTTTGGTTTGGAGGAAGGGGCTGGTTTGACATAGGATTTTAATGCAGCTGGGACTAATACAGATCAGAACTGTAACAAATGTGGTATACAGGACATGTTAAACTCCATCAACTGAATAACAACAGAGTATGATTTAAAACGAACTGCAAGTATTCACCAACACTTATTGTGCAGGTCTCAAAAACTGACTGGACCACCAATAGTGTAGCAATTACAACTTTCTCCCATTCCAGTGACCTATTCCAGCAGCACTAAGGCGTTTGTCCTTTAACACTAACACATTTAACATGGTTTCCAATCATGAGAGAGACACCACTCCCAAAACTTGATGACACTTATGTAGCTTTTGTATTCAGTCCAGAAATGATCAAACTTTGTCCTTTGTGTGACAGTGCTTTTATACCTTTGGGGGCACGTCCCTCCCCTAAGTGTTCTCTCCCACTAGCCTTCCACCTCCCCTGGTTTGAGCAGGCATAAATATAAGGTCATAAACGGATATTGTTCTTTTTGGAGTAAGAAACACACACACATATATCTAACATACAAAAACCTACCAAAAGCGTAATAAATCCATGTCCATTTTAAGCCAGGCAGCCGACCTAGCAACTGAGTCTCTTAACATATTTTAATCGCTGGCATACTCTGCCACAAGAAAAATATACATGGCTAGGTCTATAATACTTTAAACAGCTGTTTACTATAGCTAGGTTACAAAATAAACACTGCTGCAGAGGCCATGTGTTCAATATACTCTAACCACAACAGCATCAGAACCCACCCTCAGTCTGCTCTGTGGTCACCGTGGCTCACCCAGCGCCTCACCCTCTTCCCCTTGCTTCTGATCTGCCGTTCAGACAACAAACCCAGAACCATTTGTCATTGCACAATTGAAGCCGTCTTAAGGAGAGGAGCCTCATCAGAGAGTCTTGCTTGCTTTTCATACATTACTCCTCGTTACTCTCCCTCATCTATGTCCCCCAGTCCTGGGCAGCACCCCAGCATTTCCAAGTGACAGAAGCAAGCTCCAGACCAAAGCACAGGGAAGACGTTCTCAATTTGTGGAGGGAACTGGAGTGTAAGGCAGAGGGCTTTACTCCACACAGTGGAAACATTTAATGCTGGATTCAGCCAACTGGTCACTTAGATGATCAATCCCAACTTCTGTGAGCCTGCTCCACTCCAGAAGAGTCAACTGCCAGATGATATTATTTAAAATACAATTGAACTTTATGGTGAAGTGCCTAACACAGCCAGTTAAAAAGCATTATTCCAGTAGGCAAGTGACAAGGAGCCTTTCCTTGCTGGAGAGATGCCTCCTGAAAGAAAACAAAAACAAAAACAAAAAAAAAAAAAAAAAAAAAAAAAAAAAAAAAAAAAAAAAAAAAAAAAAAAAGGAAAAGAATAAACAAACCAACAAAATGGCCAGTCTGCTCAGTGGGAGAGGAGAGGCAGCAGTAAAGCTGATGGAGACAACACCAAGCAGCAGCTACGTGCTTGTTCTCACAGTTTGCCTGAGCTGTTCAGATTCACAGACATGCACCGGCACTGCTTGACCTTCTGAATTTTCTTGAGTCGGAACGGTGGGTCCAGCTCGGGGCACTCCAGCTGCACGGTGGAAGAGGTGACCTTGTGCGGCTTGCAGAAGGCACAGGACTGGAAGGACTCCTCCTCCTTCTTCACGTGCCGCGGGATGTAGAAGGAGTTGCACTGCCCGTAGCAGAAGCGGTTGATGATGGTGCGGCTGATGCAGCCCTCCTCGCTGACAGTCTGCCGCAGCGGCTGCGTCTTGCACCAGTCGCTCTTGAGGTATTTCCTCTCGGTGACCACCAGGGCCTCCTGGCTGGAGGCCAGCACCTCCTTGTTCAGCTGCTGCCTGCGCTCCGAGTGGTTGCTGCTGCTGCCTTTGTACGGGGAGGGGATGGCACCTGCAGGGCGGTTCTTCCTGGCGTCCGCTACTCGAACCAGCGCTGCCATCACAAGAAGGGACAAGGCAAGTTTCCAAACCATCCTGCAAGGGCGACACAAGGCTCCGTTAGGAGGAACGTATTTTCAAACCACAGAACCGGAATGGAGTTGGTACTTCACGCGTGCTTTTACAAGTGGAGATCTTATCGTCTTTATAATCCCATCACTTTTCCTAGATTAGCTCTATTCCAGGGTGATTACTTATCACGAAGAGGCCAAGACCTTTAGAAAGTCACATTGATCCCCCTCAGCCCTCCCCAAACTCTCCAACTACTTATTTTTCCCCCACAGGGACGCTAATGCTTTCATAGCTGAAGCGGTGGTTTTACAGAAGCTTCAGCCAGAAACGCTTCCTCCTTCTCTGTGAAATCCTGGGCCAAACAGCTGGGCAAACTCCTGGCTAGCAAAGGCTCGAGAGACTCTTGCCAAGATGGTGAGAGCCGCTTTGGGGATAGCAGGGGAGAGGAGAAGGAAATACTAGGTTACACAAAGTGCACTCCCATGTCTCTTCAGTCCCCAAGTCCCAGTCCAGCCTCATTCCCCACAGCAAGGGGTGTCCAAAAAACTATTTTTATTATTCTAAATTGCTTCTGACATTTCTTATGGCTCTTATGGCACTTACAGGCTTATATTTGTTGTCTTTGTATGAGGCCAAAACCTTGATGGATTTATTTTTGCAGTAAGAGGAAATGCTTAAAAACAGCTTTGAGGACTTCACAACTGTAAGGCCTCTTAAGCAAATGGTTTAAGAAGGTTTGTAAACATGAGAGGATTCAATATTTATTTTAGATTTTAAGGAATAGGTTAGAGCATAAACTTGTTGCTAAGTTAAAACAGTCAGCCAGATGGCAAAAAAATTTTTCTTATGATTGTCTCTTATGTGTTCTTGTTCTGTGGAGCATCTCCTACCAGCTCTTGTCCAATTCATTTTAGTAATGTGTCTCAATGTGCCTCCAGAACATCAGACTAGGTGTACTAAATTTCCTTATAAAGTCAATGCTCACTAGTGAACTGCTCATTTAACAGTTCGTTTCATATCACTCTCCCTGGGAAAGGAGAACAGAGGATCTCTTCAATGCTAGAAGTGGGTGAACAGAAGCTTCCCATTATAACTAGAGCACTGCCAAGTCTTTCTGAAGTGCTCTATTCACCTTTATTCTTAGTGGATATTTTTATCCCTCTCCTCACAATAAAGCTTCAAGCCCTTCCAAGTAATGATTTAAATTCTTTTGCTTTAGAGAGATGCCTAGACAAAAAAACTACCATCACATTGTAATTATAATGTCTAACACTACTGACACTTCAGATGTTGCATAGGTACTCCCATCTGGAAAATATGTCACTTTCCAAACAAGGACACCAAAAGATTTAAAACGTGTTTGCAGTAAAGGTGCAAAAGAAGACAAGAATAGCAGCAACAAATGCTTCTCACCTAATAAAGCAGACCTAACATGTTTAACTTCTGTGGAGATAAAGAAAAGAAACTCCTCTAGCAGACTAGGTGAAATAACTTCGCTAAAGTTATTTTCTAAGTCTACAAGATCTCAATGTCAGAATTGGACTAAGTTTCTAAGGGGAGAAGCCTAAAGTGCTAAAGGAAACAAAAGTGCTAATTGTATAGCTGTAAACAGAGGATGTTCTGATGCAGGGTTAAATTTCACCAGAGTGTATGCTTGAAACAGAACCACCTTTAAGTAGAAACTAGCATTTCTAAACCAAAAAAAAATTCATTCATCTGCAACCATGCCATCTCCCCACTGAACACTCCCTGTAGCCATGAGTACTTTAAATCAGTGGCCTATTTTCACACTGCTTAGCATTCAGCATGCAAGTCCAGAAGTTTTGTCCAGAGTCTTTAAACGAAGCAAGACTAGACTTGGCTTTGCTGGCAGGTATTGTCGCCAAGTCCACTGGATGTCAAGCCACACAGCCAGGCCAAAACCTAATCAGGTAATTAGTTTCAGTTGAATATAGTGTTCCATGCTTCTTTTAAATTGTTCTCATGCTATTCTGCACTGATGGCTGCATTTCAGTAGTAGATAAAACAACTGATTCCCAGTGCTTTGTGTTTTATATAGAAAGGGGAGGAAAAGAAACCAGATTTACAAACCTTTGTGCTCTAGAAAACTCTTCTAGAAAAAGACAGAGGTGAGCTCTCCACAAGATGCCTTATGCCACATTTCTCAGGCATACTCTTCTACTCTTTTGAAACACAAGGGATACTGCCTCTCCAGTCTCATTTCTCTGATCCTGGCATAGAAGACGACAGCAAAGGTCAGAAAGAGAGACACACCCTTCCCCCTCCCCTCTTTTCTTGGGATGATCTTTAAGGTTTTTTCCAACTTTCATGACTCTACAATTCTACAAAACCCTGTGTTACCACGCCTGCCCTTTCTCTTCATAAAATGCAGCTTGAAAGGGCATGTTTCCTTTTTGTGCCAAGAGTGGTGGTCAAGCAGAAATCTTATGTAGGAATTCAGGAAAGCTGACAGAGAACTAACAACTCAAAGTCTACAATATAGTGTAATACTATAGCAGTATTCTAATTGCTTAAATGGTTTTATGTAGGCATGGAGAGCCATTCAACAGAGTAAGTAGGATTTACTCAGTAAGTCTGTGTTTATAACTAATAAAGCATTATTAATCAAAGCCACTATTGTACAGTTATAAACCAAACATTGCAATACGAGCAAGTACTTCTACAGACAGGTACGAACGCACCACTTATTTCTGTCATTGATCCTTTATCAAACTTGAACCTTGAAATATTTACATAATGGAGCAATAATTTATTCACTAGCAGGTCAAATGTGCATTCTGTCAGATCGTGGAATTTCTAATCACAGCGTTACCCCTTACTAGCCTGCAAATCATTCCTTTCTAAGCCCTGGCACACAAATCCCCTATTCAAGCAAGTAAGGGTGCAAACAAGGTCACACGGTGCCAGCAACTTGCCAAGGACTACACATATATTTTCAGCACTCACATGCAAAGAGAAGAAAAATTTCAGGACTCCCAGATAAAGAGAACATTTTGGCAAACTCAATTTGAATGCAAAGCAAGATGGTGAATGCTGTCTGTCTGCAGACAGAGTGGCATGAGAAGAAACCCAAAACCTATTGGAGAAGAATCTGGCTTTTGGCAAGGACGGGCAGTTCTGCCCTACTTAGATGGAACAGAATGAAACAGCATGTGGCTGAGACCCTGCAAGTGAGAACTGCCTCAAGAGACTAATGCCCCTACGACTTGCACCAATGCCAGCCTGGGCCCCCCATTCCTGCTGCACCAAGGGTCCCAATAGCAGACCCAGTGGCAGCTCCTTTGGGACAGTTTTTAACTTCTTGAAACGCTGCTGCCAGTTCCCCCCATGCCTTTTTTCCAATGAGCTGAGAACAACTTAGCCTTAGACAAGACACCCAAAGAGGCCTGGCTGCATTTACATATCACATGGCAAGTTGTTTCTCCTTGAGCACCAAGTATGAGTTCATAAACTCATCACACCCAACATGCTGAAGCTGGGCTATCAGGCCTAAGAGTATAAAAAATCCTTGACCATGGAAGCAAGGATGTCAAAATCCAGCTCTGTCATACAGAGGTCAGATCACTGTGCTAGGAGGGGAAGACCCAGGACCACTGTGTGTGCCCTTAGCTTTATTTCTTCTTTGTATTCAATTACTGTGTAACAAAGTACCTACCAAGGCAGCTTTCTTTTGCATACTGACCTTCTGGCCCTATAACTCATGCATTCTTGAAAGTAATCCAGCTCCAGAGCGGGACAGGCAGTAATGTAACCCCCAAAATAGCTTATAGTTCTGTGCTTAGGGAAGTTCTCTCTGACAGGGAGCATTGGATTTGCTTTCAGAATTCAAGGTCCTTACTTTCAGAGAAGACTCCCTGAGAAGAAGTTTGTGCTATGGTCTGAAAGGCAGGGCAGAAGGTAACACCACTGACTATCTGTGCTGACTGGCCACTCTGATGTTTCCTCTAGTTTTCAAAGTCATGACCAGTTTCTCAGCTCAGGATGCAGATTCTGACTGGGAATTCCTGTTTTGAAGATCAGCCTACTTCAAGGTTGCAAGTGGACAGAAAGAAAGAGGGATGTTAATGGAAAGATCACTGTGATATTTTACGTTAGCTGCTCAGGAAATCAGGAAATGTGAAACCCATTTGTTTGCTTTAGCACCTACTTTGTAGCACCTACAAAGCACTCAGCATTATCAGCATTCCTGGAAGCATCCAACTCTCTGATAAAGGTATGAAACAATCATCTCTTCACCAGGCCTTTCTGGAGGGAATGCAGAAATAAAAGCCACAGGCAATTTAAAACAAATCAAAACATAACAAAACACAACAACAACCAAAAAACCTCCTCATCAACCAAAAAAATCAACCCACACCAAAAAACCCAAACCTGCAAAACCTGTCTTACCATGGAATTTGAGACTCTACCTATTCAGCTTAATCACAGCATAGATTAATGAAGATTTAGTAGTATAAACCTATCAGACATCCAACAGAAGTACAGTCTCAAGTACCGTAAGAGCCAGTGGCTGGGAAGATGGTAAACAAATTCAGAGATTTTTTTGCTTTTGGAAAAATTTTAATTTAATTAACAGCTGAAGAGCTTCCCTTGGACAATTATTTCTCTGTAACTACCAGCAAAAGGCAGGCATTACAGACTAAATTAAATCAGGTCCCATTGCATAGTATAGTACATAGGTGGCCACATTTGACCACCCATATCACTTGCTTCCAGTTTCCACCCTGCAAACTTCAGAGACATGAGAGCTCTCCTTAGGGATCACTTGAGCATGGCTGAATGCAGAAAAAGTTAGCAAAATTTTTTTCTAGTCTGCCCTCACTTTCATATTAGACCTCGTCAGATAAAGAATCTGTATAAAACAGTCTTATGTATAATAACGTAAGAACACAATGTACATGGTTAGTTCTCACATTTAAGATGGGACACAAGAAGCACTCCTTGAAGACAAGCCAGGCAATAGCTTTTCAAAGAACTAAAACTTGGCTTTTACAACAGATGTGGAAAGCCAGAAAATATCAAATTCTCTACCAGGAAGCCAAAAATGCTATTTATTTAATTTATTAATAGTTAGGCATGATTCTAATGGTACAATGTTCTCATAAAGACTTCAGTAAAGACTAATCAGGCATCTCTGTGCAAGGAAGGTATTTGGTGCTAATTTTTCTCTTTTAACTATCTTTTGGAAACTATTTCTCCCATGTCCCAAGAGCATTAGCAATAACTGAACACTGTACTGTATCTCCTGTTGCAGAGACATGGGCGTCATATTAAATCGTTCCATCATTAATAGATTCCCATTACTAAATTGCCAAGAGTGAGGCCAGCTGCAACAAAACATGCAGGAGGCTGGGCAGACCAAACTTCTAAAAATGTAAAAAACACAATACTGCAGCTAGGATTCAGTCATTCAGATCTGCATTATAGCAGTACTTACCATGTTCTAGGAGTACAACACAGTGCTTTTCTAAACCACTGCTCAAAACACAAAAGGCAGCGATTATTTAAAGACAAATAATTTATGCCATTACAGAAATTTACAGGCAGAAGTTTTTCCGTTCTTGTTCTCTAAGAACGTTCTACAGTGATTTGAAAAGCTATTTTGTTGCATCACAGCCCTAATAGTAGATGGTTGGGGGAGAAAACATTTCCTTCAGACTTAATAAATTCCTAGTACCCTCACTGGCTCGCTTGCATGGAGATCCTTCCCCCTTCTCTCTCCCTTCCACAAAGCAGATCCATCCTTTTCTCTTGCACAAACACCTCTTCCCCCAGAGAGTCAAGACTG